TACGGGCATGAGCCACCGTGCCTGGACGAGCACTCAAGTTATTTTTTTAAGAGGATTTTCCTCCCTGAGGACTCTTGGTCACCTACTACCAAGAAGTTCTCTGAGCCAGCCCCTCAACCCCTCAGCCTTCCACACCATGACCCTCCTTAGGGAGAGAAGCAAGGATTGGCCAGACAGGTGGGAGAGCAGCATTTTTCTAGAGGGCATGTGTATTGCTTTACTGAAGGGATTGTCTAAATTATTGCTGAACTATAATAAGCTTTAAATTTGACTGAATATTAAGGGTACGCCTCCCCCACACCACCCATCAATTTGCTGGGCTTGTGAAACACCCAAAATAGGTATTGTAATCAATAAATTGATAATAACTAATTTCAGTGTTACATTTTATGATTTTGTTATAATAACTATAAGTAATCATTTCACTATAATATTTCAAACTTTTATTTACTTTTTTTTTTTTTTGAGATGGAGTCTCGCTCTGTCACCCAGGCTGGAGTACAGCGGTATGATCTTGGTTTACTGCAACCCCCACCTCCTGGGTTCAAGCAATTTTCCTTCCTTAAGCCTCCTGAGTAGCTGTGATTACAGGCACACGTCACCATGCCCAGCTAATTTTTGTATTCTTAGTAGAGACAGGGTTTCACCATGTTGGCCAGGCTGGTCTCAAACTCTTGACCTCAGGTGATCCACCTGCCTTGGCCTCCCAGAGTGCTGGGATTACAGGCATGAGCCTGAGACAGGGTTTCACTCTGTTGACCAGGCTGGTCTCGATTTCCTGGGCGCTAGCAATTTTCCTGCCTTGTCCTCCCAAAGTGCTGGGATTACAGGCATAATCACCTTTTTAATCGCAACACATCATAATGAAAGTAAAATATTTTAAAAACCACTTCCAGGCCAGGCGTAGTGGCCCATGCCTATAATCCCAGCTCTTTGGGAGGCCAAGGCATGTAGATCACTGGGGCTCAGGCCAGCCTGGCCAACATGGTGAAATTCCCTGCCTCTGACAAAAAATACAAAAATTTAGCCAGGCGTGGTGGAATACGCCTGTGGTTCTAGCCACTCGGGAGGTTGAGGTGGGAGAATTGCCTGAGCCTGGGGGGCAGCCTCACCTCCTTGCAGTGAGCTGCAATCATGCCACCCTGCTCTCCACGATGAGTGACAGAGCCAGATCCCATCTCAAAAAAAAAAAAACAAAACCAAAACAAACAAACAAACAAACAAAAAACCGGAAAAAAAAAACCCAGCACAAATTATTTAATATAAATATAGCATTTTGGAAGGGATGATGCTGGGAATGTCTAGAGATTTAACGTGTGACATGAGGACTAGAGTAAATGTAATTGCAATATGAGGGACTTCTGCTAAATGAGATCTTAGCTGCTCTTGCCACACACATGAGAAAGTAACTACGGGAGACGACGCATATGATCATCGGTTTCCCTCCAAACCATTTTACTGTCTGTTATGTAGCCCATAGCGTCACGTTGTATACCTTAAGTATATATCACATATTTTAAAATATGATAATTAGCAGAGGCTTGATAAATATTAATTAATGGTGCTAAAAAATTACCTTTTTGTGTGTGTTCAAAATCCCTGTTAATTTTATTTATTTATAGTTTTCAAATGGCCTTGAAAAGAAAAATAGGCAAATGGAAGCTTAGCCTAGATGTTTCTTGGGTATTTCAAATTGAAGATATCAGGAATCAAACCTGTTATCCTACTGAGAATATGGGCTAATCTATAAGAGAATTAGCTAAGACTCTTAAAAACGAAAATCAGGGCGGGCGTGGTGGCTCGTATCTGTAATCCCAGCCCTTCGGGAGGCTGAGTCAGGCAGATCACTTGAGGTCAGAAGTTTGAGACCATTCTGGCCAACATAGTGAAACCTAGTGTCTACTAAAAATACAAAAATTAGCTGGGCGTGGTGGCGGCCACCTGTCATCCCAGCTACTAGGAGGCTGAGGGATGAGAACCGCTTGAAACTGGGAGGCGGAGGTTGCAGTGAGCCAAGATGGCACCACTTCGCTCCAGCCTGGGGGACAGACTGAGACCCTGTCTAGAAAACAAAACAAAATAAAACCAAAATGAGGGCGATGGAGAGGATATACCACATCAAGGGAGATGACGGAGGGCTGGGTACAGGGGCTCATGTCTGTAATCAGGGCATTTTGGGAGGCCAAGGTGGGAGGATAGCTTAAGCCCGGGATGTCCAGATGAGCCTGGGTAACATATTGAAACAGCGTCTCTACTAAAAATAACAGGAAATGAGCCTGACGTGGTGGTGCACACCTATAGTCCCAGCTATTCAAGGTTAGGGGATTGCCAAGGCAAAAGGTGGAGGCCGCAGTGAGCCATGATAGCACCGCTGCACTGCAGCCTGAGTTACGGAGCAAGACTCTATCTCAAAAAAAAAAAAATGTTTTTTTTAAATGGAAAAATATAAAACAGATGATGAACTGATAGATCTATAGAGAGACAGATTTCTAAATGTAATGTGTGAACCCGACTGGACCCCAGTTGTGGGGAGGGCTGTTATCAACAACATCTTGGGGGTAACTGGAAAAATTTGATTTTGGATCAAATACGAGATGACCTAGAATGACTGTGAATTTTCCCAGGTGTGGTATCTGTGGTTATTGCGGTAATGTTGGAGAATGTTCATGTTTCCTTAGCTTTGGGAGCCTCAAACGTGTGTTTGAGGGACACAGTGCCTGCTGTCTGCAGCTTACCTCCAAACGCTCAGCAAAAGGCGGGGAGGGAAGTGGGGAGGGACGTGGGGTGAAATGTTAGCGACTGTGGATCTGGGTAAAGAGCGTCCAGGTGTTCGCTGTACTAATGCTCCCATTTTTATGCGGCTTTGAAATTGTTCAATAAGAAAGAAAAACAAGCAAACACCCAAAAAGCACACTGAACTCTGAGCTAGAGAACTAGGAGAGCAGTGGGTCTCTCAAAAGCTGCTGAACAGGTAATGGTGCCGGGGAGATCAAATGTGGTTAGGTGTCAGGTAACAGTCTCTCACTCATCAAGTGCGGGCTTGCGGATGCAGTTCTGAGGAAAAGGCTGTTCAAGTCTACCCAAGCCCTGGGATGCGGGTGTCCTGCTGGCTGGACCAGGCTGCGTGCATGGGGGGCTGAATGAGGCAGCAAGAACATCATAAGAAGAGACGAGCACTGCTCTACCCTCTAAAATTTCCAGCCATCACCAACTGCTGTGTCTTCTTTCTACGCTGGTCCCTTTTGATGTCCTGAAACCAGCTGTCTCTGTCTACAATCTCCCCAGCCTCCAGCCTCCTTCCATCACTCACTCCCTGCTCACGCTTCCAGCTGAAGAATTTCCCAAATGGAAGCCCGACCACTTACTGTGGAACTCTGGACTCAGGAACCCAGCCTTCCACATAAGGCCCATATCACCTGTGTCCCAGTGACATCATCTCACGGCTGTATCCCTCCTGCCCTTGCCCCATGTGCTCCCTGTGACTTAATAGTTGCAACAAAATAAAATCCCTGCCGGGCATGGTGGCTCCCGCCTGAAATTCCAGCACTTTGGGAGGCCGAGGTGGGTGGATTACCTGAGGTCAGGAGTTCCAGAACAGCCTGGCCAACACGGTGAAACCCCGTCTCTACTAAAAATATGGAAATTGGCTGGGCCTGACGGTGAGCACCTGTAATCCCACCTACTCGGGAGGCTGAGGCAGGAGACGCGCTTGAACCTGGGAGGTGGAGGCTGTAGTAAGCCGAGATCACGCCACTGCACTCCAGCCTGGGTGACAGGGCAAGACTGTCTCAAAAGAGAAAAAAAAGAAGGGCCGGGCGCGGTGGCTCAAGCCTGTAATCCCAGCACTTTGGAAGGCCGAGGCGGGTGGATCACGAGGTTGAGAGATCAAGACCATCCTGGTCAACATGGTGAAACCCCGTCTCTACTAAAAATACAAAAAATTAGCTGGGCGTGGTGGCACGTGCCTGTAATCCCAGCTACTCAGGAGGCTGAGGCAGGAGAATTGCCTGAACCCAGGAGGCGGAGGTTGCGTTGAGCCGAGCTTGCGCCACTGCACTCCAGCCTGGGTAACAAGAGTGAAACTCCATCTCAAAAAAAAAAAAAAAAAAAAAAAAAAAAGAAAAAAAAAAAAAAAAAAAAAAAAAAAGAAAAAGAAAAAAGGAATTCCTAAGACTGTACCAATACGGGCTCTTTCAGGGGCTTTGGAAATGTCTGGTTTCATTTTCTCATCAGCCTGCTATGATTCTCCATTCTTTTCTCCCAATGGGAGAAGCTAAAGAGGTGAGATTCAATAAATCCGAAACAATAATATAATTTCTGGTTTCCTAAACACTGAATCTTTACACGAAGGGCCGGCAAGGCGTGTCACCTGCTCGGAGCCCCGGTCCCCTCCATGGCTGCTGTTTCCACTAATAAGTAGCCAGGGTGGATGTCCCAGATGACTTGCCACCCACACGCCGTCTGCCAGATGGCTCAGTCCTTCTCTGGAAGGATCCGTTAGAAACCACTTCCTTCTACCAGCCCAGACCTGCTCCTCGTGGCTTCTGCCTGATGCTCTGTTTCAAGCCTACAGTCATCCCTTTGCCCCTGCCAGCCTCTCACCAAAGCACTGCACTCACGGTACACACTCATGAAAGTGGCAGCCCCAGACCAGCTTAGCTCTGGGAATGAGGCGACTTCCCAGAGGGGACACACGGGCTCCTAAAGGCCATGGCACAACCCTGCCCGTTGCAACCACACGGGGCGCTTCTGCTCGGAATCCACCACACCTCTGTCTATTCTGAGAATAGGTTCCTTTTCCAGGAGGGCTTTCACCAAGGACCCATTGGAAAACCACATCACAGAGCGCAAAATCTGCACGACGCTGGGTCGAAGCAGCTGGGAAGGCACCATGTAACTGGGCAGCCCCCTCTGTCCGGAGTATTTCTTCAACGTGAGGACAGACAGACCGATTAGCCACGCAGGGTGGCTCAGGATAGAGAAGGAGCAGAAAAGCTTACCTCTCCTTGGAAGCTCTTCAGCAGCGGCGCTACCTGCTTGCGCAAATCCTGGAGCAGGAGGCAGAGGTCGGGAAGCAGCCATTTGAGGAGGAGAAAAAAGGGAAACATCGGTTAAGGCCTCCTAAAAAAACGGCGTGGCAGTCAGTGCCGATTATCTATCATTCTCTAAAGCAAGCCTGGGACCTCGCCCGTTCCTGCACTCCTAAAACACAAATAACGCCAACTGGCGCTCCAGGATTTAAACTTTTTTTTTTTTTTTTTTGAGACGGAGTTTCACTCTTGTTACCCAGGCTGGAGTGCAATGGCGCGATCTCGGCTCACCGCAACCTCCGCCTCCTGGGTTCAGGCAATTCTCCTGCCTCAGCCTCCTGAGTAGCTGGGACTACAGGCACGCGCCACCATGCCCAGCTAGTTTTTTGTATTTTTAGTAGAGACGGGGTTTCACCATGTTGACCAGGATGGTCTCGATCTCTTGACCTTATGATCCACCCGCCTCGGCCTCCCAAAGTGCTGGGATTACAGGCTTGAGCCACCGCGCCCGGCTGGATTTAAACTTATTTAAGAATACAACAAGGTGGTCCATTTTTATTGTCGTCGTCGTTTGAGACGGAGTCTCATTCTGTCAACCAGGCTGGTGGGCAGTGGCACAATCCTGGCACACTGTAACCTTCGCCTCCCGGACTAGGGTCATCCTTCCATCTCAGGCTCCTAAGTAGCTGAGACTACAGGGGTATGACACCATGCTTGGCTAATTTTTGTATTTTTTTTTTTTTTGTAGAGATGGGTTTTATCATGTTGCCCAGGCTGGGGTCAAACTCCTAGGCTTAAGAGATCCGCCCACCTTAGCATCCCAAAGTGCTGGGATTACAGGCATGAGCCACCCCACCCGGCCTACAACGATATTTTATTTCTACTAAGTCCTGGTCACATACACCTCATTTTCGACATGCTACAAACTAAAGCTTTTGCTGTTAGTCGAAATGAGATAATTTGCTTAGAATAAAATAGACTAGAATGGGGGTTTGACTGCCGTTCCTATCTGAAATTGACCTGGGCCACTGTGCTGCATTTTAGCTGCTTTTTTTTGAGACAGAGTCTCACTCTGTCACCCAGGCTGGAGTGCAGTGGTGTGATCTCAGCTCACTGCAACCTCTGCCTCCTGGGTTCGAGTGATTCTCTCACGTCAGCCTCCCGGGTTCGAGCGATTCTCTCACGTCAGCCTCCCAAGCAGCTGGGATTACAGGCACCTGCCACCATACCCGGCTAATTTTTGTATTTTTGTAGAGACGAGGTTTCGCTATGTTGACCAGGCTGGTTTCAAACTCCTGGTCTCAGGTGATCTGCCTGCCTTGGCCTCCCAAAGTGCTGGGATTACAGGCGTGAGCCACTGCGCCCCACCGTAGCTGCCATTTCGATGCACCGTTAGTGGAAGATGCAGCCTGTTTTGAATCCACGTCTGACAGAGTCACAATAAATTTTATCCCAAGCCACCAGAGCTCATTTTGAAATACCAGGACATCCAATAGGTGCGTGTGCATGATCTCGTTCAGAGCGTTTTATTTAAAATGAAGTAACTGAGAAAGTGCTTCAAATACTTTGAAAAGACTTATCTAGATTAATACGTTATTTACTGAAAGTTTAGGCATTGAAACTTTTTTTTGTTCTTTTTTTTTTAGATGGAGTCTCGCTCTGTCGCCCAGGCTGGAGTGCAATGGCGTGATCTTGGCTCACTGCTACCTCCGCCTCCTGGGTTCAAGTGATTCTCTTGCCTCAGCCTCCCGAGTAGCTGGGACTACAGGTCCCTACCACCATACCCAGCTAATTTTTGTATTTTTAGTAGAGACAGGGTTTTACCATGTTGGCAAGGCTGGTCTCAAACTCCTGACCTCAGATGATCCGCCCACCTCAGCCGCCTAAAGTGTGGGGATTACCGTTGTAAGCCATCGTGCCCAGCCCACATTTTGCTTCATGAAGCCTTCTGAGAATCTAAGGAAAGCTATTGACCTTGCCCTCAGAAATAAAACTGCAAATTATTTTATCAGAGCCTTCCTAAGTAAGACCTATCTCAAGACCCCAGGTAAGGAAGTATTATTCTCTATCAACACATATAGCCATATGTGGTTTATATTTAAATATACCTTAATTAAAATTAAGTAAATTTGGAAAATTCAGTTTCTTAGTCACCTTAGCCACATTTCAAGGATTTCGAAGCCACTTGGAGCTGATGGCTACTGCTTCAAACCATGCAGATACAGAACTTTTCCATCATCGCACAGGGACCTACAGGACAGACCTATACCATATGTTTTTGCTTTTTTGAGACAGGATCTTGCTCTGTCACCCAGGTTGGAGGGCAGTGGTGTGATTAGAGCTCACTGCAGCGTCAACCTCCTGGATCCAAGCGATCCTCCTGCCTCAGCCTCCCGAGTAGCTGGAACTACAGGCACACACCATCATGCCTTGCTAATTTTCTTACTTTTTTTGTGGAGACAAGGGTTTTGCTATGTTGCCCAGACTGATCTTGAACTCCTGGACTCAAGTGATCTACCTGTCTTGACCTCCCAAAGTGCTGGGATTACGAGTGTGACCTGCCGTGCCTGGCCACTGTACCACCAAGTTTTTTGACGAATATCATCAGCCCACATTATTTTGTATTGTGATCCTACAGAAACATTTGGTCAAGGAGCATTATAATTTCCTTTTTATCTATATACTGTTCTGAAGGATGCATTTCTAAACATGCTACTATTATTTCTTCAGAGAAATCAATCCTGTTTCTTCTTCCACTAGATGATTTTCTGTATTTTTACACCAAGTTCAATGACCAAAAAAAAAAAAAAAAAAAAAAAAAAATCAGATTCTTTGCTAATGTCTCTCTTTTTTTTCTTTTTCTTTCTTTCTTCTTTCTTTTCTTTCTTTCTTTCTTTTTTTTTTTTTTTTTTTTTTTTTTTTTTCCTGAGACAGGGTCTCTCTCTGTCATCCAGACTGGATTGCAGTGGCACGATCTCAGCTCACTGTAACCTCCACCTCCCAGGTTCAAGGGATCCTTCACTTCAACCCCCAAGGTAGCTGGGACTAGAGGCATGCACCACCACACCCAGCTAGGTTTGTGTATTTTTTGTAGAAACTGGGTTTCACCATGTTGCCCAGGCTGGTCTCAAACTCCCAGGCTCAGGCGACATGACCACCTTGGCCTCCCAAAGTGTTTCGGATTACAGGCGTGAGCCACCATGCCCGGCCACCAATCTCTTTCATATAAATAAGGCTATCTGTGGTCCGCACCAGTAATAGTCCTCCAGAGGTAACCACATCCTAATAGCTGGCACCTGTGAATACGTTAGATTGCAATGGCAAAAGGGGCTTTTGCGGATGGGATTATGTTAGGGATCCTGAGTCAGGAGATGATCCGGGATTATCCAGGTGGGCCTGGGGTAATCCTAGTGGTCTTTGGGTAAGAGAGAGGCGGGAGGCTCAGAGGACTGACACAGAGGTGGGAATGCTATAGGAACGCAGGCAGCCCGAGAAGCTGGAAACTGCCAGGAAATTGATTCTCCCCCCCGAGCTTCTAATAGGAACACAACTCTGTCTGACACACTGATTCCAGCCTGGGAAATCCCATTTTGGACTCCTGAACTCCAGCACTGTCAGACAATACATTTCTGTTGTTTGAAGCCACTTGGCATGTGGCAGGTTGCGACAACAGCAACAGGAAGCTAACACACCACCGCATTTCACCCATTGCGCTTTTCAGAAATGTAGGGGCAAAACAGGACACAAAGGAAAACGAGGGCAAAGAGAGTGGATGGGGTAAAGACTGATGGAAAAAAGGTTACTGTGTGATCCCAGCAGGGCCCAGGGAAAACCACCACAGGGCCTGGCACACAGTGGGGACTTGAAAAGACATGGAATGGATGCCAAGGGAATGAATGAAAGGATAGATATGGACGGGCTTGGTGGCTCACGCCTGTAATCCCAGCACTTTGGGAGGCCGAGGCAAGTGGATCACCTGAGGTCAGGAGTTCGAGACCAGCCTGGCCAGCATGGCAGAGCTCCGTCTCTACTAAAAATGCAAAAGTTAGCTGGGTGTGGTGGTGCATGCCTGTAGTCCCAGCCTTACTCAGGAGGCTGAGGTGGGAGGATCACTTAAACCCAGAGGCTGAGGTTGCACCACTGCCCTCTAGCCTGGGTGACACAGTGAGACTCTGGCTAAAAAAAAAAAAAAAAAAAATGCTTAACAAGGGTCCAGATTCAGAGGGGAAAGAGCCAAGGCAGATGAGGTTACGGAACGAGAAAGCTGGTGGGGCTGAGATATGAGATCACAGCAGAGAAATGGAAGCGGGCAGAACTTGAGGGAGGAGGGCAGGGGGCTGGGGTGCAGGGGCCACACCAAGCCCTGAACGGCAGTGCACCTTACCAGGTCTGCCTCCCCGGCTTGCCCCCAACACTGCCAACCTGGCACAGGGCCAGCCTCACACAATCACCAGCTCTGAGAAGTATGGGAGATGATACAATTATTTCTATATTCTATTACAGCATTCCAGAAAGGCAGAAGCAGAAGGGCTATGCCTTTCATAATGTCCTTAAATAAAGCACACGCCTCTCACCCCATCCATGTAGTTTTTCCCCCTTTTGAGCATATTCACTCGCCTAACAGACCTACTAAAATAACCTTTTTGATATTAAAGCTGAATGTGTGTTTGTACACATACTCACGCACACACACATATTTAAAGACAGTTGAAGAGGGAAAAAACCACTATATATTCACACGTATCATACACAAACTGATATATATGTACTTCAAGCCGCCAGCCAAAAATCACTCATTCTAATTTCATCTTTGGCAGTTTGAGAAATTCCTGATCCAATTCTGCTGCCTGCAAATATTATTCAGTTTTGTGCTAAACTAAGAACACAGATACAAAGATGTTCCATTCTGGCCAGGCGCGGTGGCTCACTCCTATAATCCCAGCACATTGGGAGGCTAAGGTGGGAGGATTGCTTGAGCCGAGGAGTTCGAGACCAGCCTGGGTAATACAGCGCCTGTA